TATAGAAATATATTTTGTTTACTAAAACATTGTACATGTAAAGTTAAACTTAACTAATTCCTATTTGAGTGATTTTGTTGAGGATAGGACGATGATAGGAGAAATATGAAATGAAAGGAAGTGTTTCTGCTGTAATGTGTCTTGCGAAAGTCAAGTCGATAGTTGTTCCTTTTAACGTAGTTGACTTAGAAACGTTTGATACGCAATCAAGATTATACGTATTTTTCATGAATTTAAGAAACGAGTTGTCAGGCTTTACGTTTTTGTTAAAATCACCACACAGAAGAATCGGTATACTAGAATCAACTTGCACGAACGGTGGCACGTACTGGCTGTTGTGAATGTACGGACCGAGTCCTTGCCATAGTAACATTCCAATATCCTGCATACTAGCTCCTGGATGAATATATACAGCACCGAGTATAAACTTGAAGCTAGTATTAGCGGCGAAGCAAGTAACTTCAGTCATGCACATGTCACCCTTGGTTTTAATGACACGAGTTACGTCTGTAATCGCAACTTGGAACACTTCCGCCGTAGATGTCGATGATAATTTACGATAGATCGCCACTCCACCAGCCGCGTTGGTATTTGAAAATCAAAACACTTATTCAGATCGAAGGTTCAAATTTTTGCTAAATAAATTTGAAATTAAATAAAATTTGTAATTGTGAATGATGAAGTTGAAAATTAAAACATTTACTTAAATTAGATGTTAAAATTCTTGCTCAACACAGTTTAAATAAAGTTTTCTTATATCTGCCACTTTTTCTTGATATTTGTAATTTTAAAGAATCAATTCGAAAATCAAAACATTTATTCAGATCGAAGGTTCAAATTTTTGCTAAATAAATTTGAAACTATTTAAAATTTGTAAAATAATAATTAATTAATTAATTAATTTTAAACTAATAATTTACTTAACACTATCAACATTTATCAATAGTATGACATAACCTATAAACTCAGTTTCTCAACTTTTGTGTCAATCTAACAATTAATCAATCAATCATAGTTTACGATAATGAAATATCAGTGTACAATTATTTACCTTTATTGTTGTAGTTGTTGTAAATGACGAATCTAAGCACTCCACATTTTCACTACAGACACAGCTGACGATACTTTAACCACACGTGTGAACTTGTATTATGACGCTTTCTTGTTTCTCCAACGCCAAGAACGTTCGAGAAAGACAAAGACAGAGACAAGCATGCGCCGATTCAATGCGCCTAATTCTCTAGCGCTGCGCGCGCAGCACTCTCGTTCGATGACTCATCGTAACGTTACCGGGCGTTACACTTTTTCATAAGTGACTCCCAGCCGCAACCTAATTTAAGACGTTGTCACGTCAAAACGAAATTTATTTTAAAGAGAAATAACGACTATTTCTAGCTTTAAGGATGAAGTATGAAAGGGTGAAAAATATGAAGAGTAATGGCGAACGGAAAAATAAAAGTGTCCAGGGGCGGGAATCGAACCCACGACCCCATCAGTAAATGAAGACATTAAGACGCGAATGTTTCTTTTCACAAATAAATCAAACTCACTTACCTCTGACCTCAAACACCACTGATGAGCCAAACCTTCCCAATATTTTTTTTTGTAGAATGGATAGTAGAAGTTTGATTTATTTGTAAAAAGAAACATTGGCGTCTTAAATGTCTTCATACGTTATATATAGATGACACGTTATTGCCTTTTATTAATATATATTAGTGTTGAGTAATATTAATCATTCCTCCATGGTAAAGTTTCTTTTCAAAACATTTTTATTATTCTCTATCTTTCGGGAACGGACGCCCTTCTACAAGAGAAAACCTGGTATAATGATACGCCAATAGAACACGAGTTGAATATAGTCGGATATGGATACATAGTATCTTATTATATTTAACTCGTGTTCTATTGGCTAATTATTATACAGTAGACTCTCTCTCTCTCTCTCTCTCTCCTATAACGCGAGTTTTTACAACGCGATAAAAAAATTGCGAAAAATTTATTTATACAACGCGAATTTTCGTATAACGCGTTATAAAATAAAATGCGGAAATTTCCTTATTGACAACTGTACAATACATTTGCATATAAAATAATATAACACTCAGTTTTGTTTTAGTATATAATTATTTTTCCTATATACATCATTTTATACAATACATTTTTACATGATATTTGTCACTAACAATTTACCCTAACAACATTCGCTATATACAAGTTTTATTTCGTACAACGCGAAATTCTATAACGCGATTTCATACAACACGGAACATATTAATAGCGTTTTAGGAGAGTTAACTGTACCAGGTTTTCTCCTGTAAAAGGACGTCCGTGCCCGAAAGCTAGAGAATAAAAATTTTTTGAAAAGACACTTTTCCCTGGAGGAATGATTGGTTTTACTTTATATTGATATAAGGCATTATTTTATAGAATATATTAGTCTTGTTTATAGTTTCCCTTCTACTATATATGTAGTATGTATACTTTACTATTGACAGATCAGGCCTCTCATCCGGGAGGCACTTACCATCATCTCCCCTGACCTGCAGGGCTGGGTACATGGCCTAGACGATGACGCCCTGGCCATCCTGGCGTCTACCAAGACCCACATCGATAACTACTTCCTCGGCGCGGAACTAAGGAGTGTACAAGAAGACCCCCTCCTTGTCTGGAGGAGGACTCTCTCAAGGTGGGGAAGCCTTCCTTGCTGAAGATATTTGTATATATATTCCCCTACACTTTACTATTGACAGAGGTTATAAAGGTTGTTTTAAAATATAATCTTTTTACAATATTGTCCGTCGAACAATGCCTGGTATTCATCTGAAAATAAGAAGTAAAATAGACGATGAATGCCCTAAATGTTTCCTTTAGATAAAGTTTAGTACGAATGCTCTGTGACTTCCTACATTCACTCGAAAAGGTGGAAAGTTGGAAACTGGTGGAAACACACCAAAATATTTATACTAAATTGAAATATCACACTGATTTCTTTAATACTTTGATATTTTCCCTTATTTTTCTAAATTGTGAGAAGAGAGCATTAGCGAATATAATTATATATATACAGTTAAACCTGTCTATAGTGCCCCCTCTTGGGACTCACCAGAATAGGGTGCTATAGGGAAGGGTTGCTATAGACAGGTCACTTTTAATGTAAATCGCATCGTACGTATTCAAAATCGGGCGCTTAGAGAGGGAGGCGTTATTGACAGGTTTAACTGTACATATATATATGACTCAGCATATTAAGTGCACATATTCTTGGAATTAGAGTTAAAGAGTGTGTCCACAGTTTAAAATTATGACGGGGCCTCTCACGTAAGTAAACACAAAACCATTTCTTTCTTTGTTCGAAAATGTAATTCTTTAAAAGTTAGAAGGAGGGGGGGGGGGGGGGGGGGGAGGGTAGTCTAAACCGTTGGTTTTCTACCGCTACGACCCGGGATCGAACCCCGCATTGGGCACTTTTTTCTAAATAAAAAAAAATGGTCCCCGATTCTTGCGAAAATCCAACCTTACCAGCGAGTGCAATTAACCAAACGGGTCTCTGGCATATTTCTAAGTGCAAAAGTCGAACTGCTTTTCATATGTGTAGACATGTGGTGTACTTACAGAAAAAGCAGTCGCCTACTTCTTTACACCATGATTATCATGGCTTGTACCACGTGTAAAATAACAGATAATAATAAAAAATAATACAGGTTCAAGAATTTCTACACTTCTGTAAGATTTGAGAGATTTCAATAAGCCATTCAAAAATATTTTAGTTAATTCTATTTTCTATTGCAGTTATGTTTCATCCATAATGTTAATTTGAAGGTTGATTCAACTTCGCCATAGATAATCTACAAGTACCACAGTTCTTGTACTGTACAGTCCTTATATCGTTATCTTTGGGCACTTCTTTCTTCGATTTTCCAGGGTTTCAGCAGTCAAGTTAACCGACAGCGCCTTGAGACGTAGACAAATTTGCATAGAAAGTCCTTGTTGCACCCCTGAGAACGACTAATTGAAGAAAGCTGGCGAACCAATCACAGTAAGTGGGTAGAGCACCTGACGATATGGACTTTCAGAAGAAAAAAAGTCTGAAATTAGAATGCTTATGTTCTCAAAGAACTAATGATTGGCGGTGATTCAAACCTAGGCAAGGCTTTTCAGAAATAAATGTACGTACTCTAATCTTCTATAATAGATATCAAAGCTCTATTATTTTCTTATAATCATTGATTTTTCTAATATTTTACATTTATTAAACGAAGTTTGACAATTACACCACAAATGTTTCTTTTGAACGGAAAATCTAAATTTATTTTAAGGAAAAATAACGTTTATTTCTAACCTTAACGATGAAGTATGAAAGGATGAATTGTGAAGAGTAATGATAAACGGAAAAATAAAGTGTCCAGGGATGAGAATCGAATTCATCCTTTCATACTTCATCCCTAAGGTTAGAAATAGTCGTTATTTCTCCTTAAAATAAATTTCGATTTTCCGTTCAAAAGAAACATTTTCGGTATAATTGTCAAATTTCGTTCTACAATCATAAGCCGCATTATATTGTATTATATATTTTACATTTATGGTCATTTAATTAATAGTTATAATTAAGCATTAGATTAATTTTTAAAATCAATTTAAAGGTACTTTTAAGTAAAATGAAGGTTTGTGAACCAAATGTAACTTATATTCAAATACTTTTCTGTTAGCACTTTGGTTAGAGATGGTTAGCGATTCCCTTGACAAGAATAGAATAGTCGTTGAGCCCAACACTTATACACACGACACATATATCTATCCTAACTTAGCTTTACGCAAATTCTGGAAAACAGAACAGACAATAGGCGTAACACAGAAGATGGATCCAACTTGAAGAAAGGTCGATGTTAATCTCCACTTTCTGTAGATAACTGCTATGTTTACTTCTGTATCTGGGACGTATACCTGTATGGGACGAGTGTCCTTAATAAAGGCTTTATGTTGTTGTAATCAATTTTTGTGGTCCTGTGGCCTAAGAGATAAGACGTTAGCCTTCTAAGCCAAAGATTGTGGGTTCGAATCCCATCATCAGAATCCTTTTTTAAAGGGGTTTGGTAGAGGATTTGTATAAATTGACAATCTTCAACAGAAACAACCTTAGGTCGAATCTCGCATTGGGCATTTTTATCTGAATTACGTTATTTTTTTGCTTCAATGTCCCCCGATTCTTGCAATATGTAGACATGTGTGCACTTTCAGTAAAACAGTTGCTAACTACCCGCCATGACCCGTTCCACAAGTGCAAAGTCGAACTGCTTTTCCCATGTGTTGACATGTGGTACGCTTACGGTAAAAGCAGTCGCTAACTACCCACCATGATTATCATGGCTTTGAGATAAGAAAAAAAAAAAAAGAAGAGACCTGTTCCACACATGTACTAGTGATAAATAGAAAAATGAATTAATCAATCATTTTTGAAACAACAGTCGTTCACAAATTTAAACATGAAAATTTTCGAATCACCTAAAATAAATAAATCCATTAAACTAAGATATAATTTCAGTTCTAAAAATACTTAAAATTAACGGCTTCGTTTCGGGGAAAAAAAAACATTCGTGCTTGAATTTCTTTCATTTCTTATGTATAGATGGCATGGTATCGTCTTATAAAGAATGTTTCAAGTCAAGAAATTGTCGCCTTGTGCTACGGCTTGATTTGAAGACATTTCACGAGAAGATGTAAACATATAGAGAGGTTTAGGAACACGAACAAGTATATAGAGAGGTTTATGAATACGAACAAGCATATAGAGAGATTAAGAAGTACGAACAAGCATATAGAGAGATTTAGGAGTACGAAAAAGCATATACAGATGATATTTAAGAGTACGAACAAGCATATAGAGAGATAAGGGAGTACGAACAAGCATATAGATAGATTAAGAAGTACGAACAAGCATATAAAGAAATTAAGAGGTACGAACAAGCATATAGAGATGATATTTAAGAGTACGAACAAGCATATATAGATGATATTTAAGAGTACGAAAAAGCATATAGAGGAATTAAGAGTACGAACAAGCATATAGAGAGGTTTAGGAACACAGCAACGACACTCTGGCTGTAGATAATGTAGTCGATGTAGTTAGAGAGATTAAAAATGGACATTGTTTCAGTTCACATGTGTCGATGTCAGAGTAGGTCATTATATCTGACCTTGGCATCTGCATGGAACACAGTTTTGTAATCTCCGGTTTCTATCTGTACAACTACCATACAGTATTTCCGTCAATGTATTTTAGATTAATGGTCACAATGATATAATACACTGGTCTGCACTGAAAAATATATTTTTGATAATGCATCAGTTTCTGACTTAATTTGAGGTGCTGATCACAAATATAATGTTAGTTTTTGTGTATCTCATCAATTTTTAGAGATATAACATTTACATATTTAGGCCACAATGTGAAACATCAGTCCATATAAGTGGTACGAAAAACACATTGAACGCAAATAAAAACTGAGAACGTCATACCAAAAGGTACTTTATTTACTGTAGTATAAGAAAACCGAATCTATACAAAAAATGTAAAATGCTACAGTCAATCCTTCATTAATCAACCTTTTTGATTTTCTCTTATAAGTGTATTCCGGCAGGTCGCGGGACAGATTCCAGCAGTAATCTGCCATCATGTTGGCAGTCCCAGACACCTTGATATCTCTCTTCCATCACTTTCATGTCTTGATGGAATCGCTCGCCTTTTTCATCACTATATGCACCGAGATTATCAGGGAATTTGTCCAGGTGACTATGCAAGTAGTGAACCTTAATACTTATTAGTATTTCTGCATTTAGTTTATCTAATTTAAGTCTAAATAAACCAATTTCTTTGATGATCTATAAAGATAAAGGTTACGTCTCCCGTTAAAATAAACGTCAAAGCTAGAGCTAGACCTCATCCATTTCGAAGGAAGAGATCATCTTTAGCTCTATAGATCAATATCCTCGCGTCATTTCCATCTATATTTTAGCCATAGATTTGGCCCAGCCACTTTGCCAGCTAAACACCTCTTTGGCAGATTTTGAGGATTCCATTAGATCCCTTGTGGGTATCATGGAATAAAGTCCGCCCTAGACTGACGAGGGCCATTAGCCCGAAACCATGGTCTCTAGGTGGACGCTTCTCAGTTTGTCAAAGCTGGTGTTGTGACTTTGCCACCGACCAAAGGCCGCAAGATTGCGTAAAGGGTTAATGCTTGGCGTTTAGCATTGACGTCTATTTTGAAGGTAGAGATGACCTTTATTTTTCTATTTAAATATCCTCCCGACAGAATTTCCATTCACACACATCTACTCTAATAATGTATTATCAATGTTAAGCAATCCTATATATAAATGTTATATAAAAATTCTAATTAATTTTAAAATTATAATTCCCAGATCAAATTACTCTGTTAAGTCTACCACCAGATGTCGCGACTTTCCCTTTATAAATATATTGTTGTTTGTTTTTTATATTGAACAATATATAAAGAAGTGTGTAGTGTGCATGACATTTTAGTTTTGTCAATTGTGCAATATGTTTTTACTTTGAGATTTCACCTAAAATAGCAGACTTCACACAAGCGTGATCCATTTAGGCCTTGTCGAACAGCTTGAAATAGAGTTTCTACGTTTTTATATTGAATAAAAAATAAAGATATATAGTTTGCAGGACATTTTATTTTATAATATACATGGTTGACCCAAAAGTTCGTAAACACTTGCAAATAATTAAAATACCAATATTATTAGCAGTTATGTATAATGTCTTTGTATTATGTATAAAGTAATTGTATTATGTATTATTATTTAATAAAAAAAGCATATATTGTATCAAATATCATTTATTTTACCAATATATCATTCGACTGAACGCTTTTTCAAAGTATTATAACATTAATGTGTATCAACAACAAACTCGACACACATTAATATGTTATAATACCTTGAAAAAGGTTGGCGTTCAGCCAACTGAAATATTGGTAAAATAAACGATATTTTGATCCAATATATGTGTTTTTAATTAAAGATGTATTTATGGATTGCTCTATTTTCAAAATATATTACAGTTAAACCTGTCTATAGTGTCTTCTCTGAGAACTCACCAAAATATGATGCTATAGAGAGAGGGTGCTATAGAAAGGTAATTTAATGTAAAATGTTTAAAATCGGGCGCTATAGAGAGGAAGGCGCTATTTAGAGGGGTGCTATAGACAGGTTTAACTGTATTATGTCTGTGTATTCGCAGTAATAATTATATTCGCCAAGTAATAAGAAAACGTTTTAAGAAAAACACGAAGTTTTGGGATAACCTATACAATATGCTTTTACTTTGAGATATTACATGCATAGACTAGAAGACTTCAGGCATATTTTGGTTGTAAGTATTTAGCTCGCGTCGGTTTCTGCAATGTCATCATTTGAGCAAAGGGCAAATATTGAAATATTGGTAAAATAAATGATATTTTGATCCAATATATGACTTTTTTTAAATTAAATAATAATACATAATACAACGACATTATACATAACGTCGAATAATATTGGTATTTCATTTTTTTGCAAGTGTTTACGAACTTTTGGAACAACCTTGTATAAAATAAAATGTCATGCAAACTATATATCTTTATTTTTTGTTCAATATAAAAGCGTAGACACCAGATTTCGAGCTGTTCGACAAGGCCTAAATTGATCCCCCTCGTGTAAAGTCTGCTTGTTTGTGCATGTGCAATCTCAAAAAGAACACAAATATTGTATATTACAAAATATAATTTGATGCAAACTAAATCTTTTCAGTTATTGTTCAATATAATGGCGTAGACACTAGATTTTGAGCTGTTCGACCAGGGCTAAATTGATCCCCCTCGTGTAAAGTCTGCTAGTTTGTGCATGTGCAATCTCAAAGAGAAAACAAATTGTATATTACAAAATATAATTTGATGCAAACTAAATCTTTTCAGTTATTGTTCAATATAAAGGCGTAGACACTAGATTTTGAGCTGTTCGACCAGGGCTAAATTGCTCCTCCTCGTGTAAAGTCTGCTAGTTTGTGCATGTGCAATCTCAAAGAGAACATAAATATTGTATATTACAAAATAAAATTTGATGCAAAGTAATGAATGAAGCTTATATGAAGCTTAATTGTTTATATCAAATGTGATTTTGTCTATAAAATTTAACTTAGCTGGGTGATGTTTGAGATTGATAGCTTCTATTTTAGCTATTTAATCTAAAAGAATTTTGTTTCTACCTGCTGCTCTACAATCTGGTTTTTATTTATTTGTGTGTTGTGTGTGGGGTAGCGCGATATCAATTTATTATTTAAAATAGAGTAGAATATAACTACATATTTTGATGTAGACAATGGTGACTATGGTAAACAATGATGATAATGAATTGTAACGAATCTACCAAGCAACCAAGTCAACTGAAGAGTTAGATGCTGATGGGGCAGTTCCAAGTTTCCTGGGCCTCTCTCCTGGATGGGTCAAGGCAGCTATGCCATCAATTTGTTATTTAAAAATCGAGTAGAACATAACTACATATTTTGATGTAGACAGCGGTGACGATGGTAAACAATGGTGATCATGAATTGTGACGAATCTACAAAGCAACTAAGTCAACTGAAGAATTAGATGCTGATGGGGCAGTTCCAAGGTTCTGGGCCTTTCTCCTGGATGGGTCAAAGCAGCTATGCCATCAATTTGTTATTTAAAAATCGAGTAGAATATAACTACATATTTGATGTAGACAATGGTGACGATGGTAAACAATGGTGATAATGAATTGTAACAAGTTTACCAAGCAACTAAGTCAACTGAAGAGTTAGATGCTGATGGGGCAGTTCCAAGGTTCCTGGGCCTCTCTCCTGGATGGGTCAAGGCAGCTGATCAGCTTGTAGCGGGATGATAAGGTGGTGGTGTCTTTGCCCCCTTTAATGGCAATCAGCCTTGAGGGCGAATCTTAGCAATTCTCTTCAGGAAACTCTTTAAAAACACATCTTGCTATAGAGTACCTAAATAAACACCGTTTTAAGAGATAGATGGTGTAACTAAAACAAGTTACATCATGCACTTCCCATTCTTTAAACGTGCACACGTCAAATTTCACACCGTTTCATCATATTATTTAGAATTTTACAGCCATTTCAGTGAATCATTACAAATTGTTTAGGCTAAGGCGGTAAAGTTCAAATTCGATAATTAATTCTGTGGCCAATGGACATGTATCGGACCTTGAGGCTGTTGGGTTCTACGCTGCCTGGAGTATAAGAGTTTCATCTTTGCTTTTCCTGTGGTGAATCTGTATATGACTGGTGGTCTTAATAAAGCTGTATATATATATATATATATATATATATATATTTATAGAAGCAATGGACGCTTCTTCCGTCAAAATAAACGTAAGAATCTGACGCCATCTATTGACCGTCGCCGCAACTAGCGGCATCGGGTCGGTGACAAAGCCACAACACCAGCTTTGGCAAACTGAAAAGCGTCCACCTAGAGACCATGGTTTCGGGCTAATGGCCCTCGTCAGTCTAGGGCGGACTTTATTCCATGAGATCCACAAGGGATCTATTGGAATCCTCACAATCTACCAAAGAGGTGTTTTGCTGGCAATGTGCCTGGGCCAAATATATGGCTAGAACATAGATGGAATATTTGCCGGGAGGAAATTAATCCATAGGAGCAATGGGCGCTTCTCCCGTCAAAATAAACGTCAGAATCTGACGCCATCTATTGACCGTCGCCGCAACTAGCGACATCGGGTCGGTGACAAAGCCACAACACCAACTTTGGAAAACTGATAAGCGTCCACCTAGAGACCATGGTTTCGGGCTAATGGCCCTCGTCAGTCTAGGGCGGACTTTATTCCATGAGATCCACACAGGATCTAATGGAATCCTCACAAACAATAGATGGCGTCAGATTCTGACGTTTATTTTGACGGGAGAAGCGCCCATTGCTCCTATGGATTAATTTCCTCCCGGCAAATTTTCCATATATATATGTTTGTATGGTAATTTAAACCAACAACCCTATATTGTATACTACTTATAACAAGATTGTCATGTTGTATATAGAAACACATCTATAAATAATTATACGCATGATTGACATGTGTCATTGCATCACCATATGTAATGTACTTTGTACAAACTGAGGATGAATAAATAAAACTATGTAATAGATTAAGAGCTGAGCTAAGAAAGAGATCGAGATAGAAATTCAACAACCCTAAAGAGGAATTTGGCAAGTCGTTGCCATCAAGGTCAAAGGGTGCAGAATAGCCCAGACGCCCCACGCACTTTGCACCCGTTCAAAGTCCAAATTTTCGCATGTCTCCCCCCCCCCCTCGGCAAAGATATAAAACATTTGCCCAAGCCGAAATGTTACACTTAGTCAGTTCACCACCATTGTGAGCCCTTGTCGGTTGTACCCAGGTCCGCCTCATCGACCATGTAGAACAGTAAGAACTTTTTCTATCTCCATCTTGCTCTTAGCTCGCTCCTATCTGTTCACGGAACTTTCCTACTACAACTGTGTCTCTTCGTTTTTTGTGTGTGGACATTCCCATGCTTTCCACTCTGCCTCGACCACGACTGCCTGTACTCTGTGAGAACTTTTAAAGGTCTTCCAAGGTGCAGAGAGGTACTGGAAAACTCTCCACGCCCTGACTGTCCCTCTCGGTTACTACAGGTTTGACCCTCGGTTACCACATTTGTGTATGTTGATATTTGCTTGTTTTGTTCGTTTCCTCTGTAATAGACGCAATTACCTCGATATCGCCCCATGTTGATAAAAAATACAAATACTTGTAAATATAATATTGCCAGACACTTCTTTCTTTTGTAATCAAATAAAGTAAAGCGCGAAGGAAGATGAGTTTCTTTTTAATAAACGCGAGCGAGCTTTCGGGCCACACTATTTGATTATCTAAACAGGAAGAGTTCTATCGCTTATTCTTTCTTTTGTACACAGTTCTTTTTTCTCGTTTTTATCTCTCATTCCTATTATTAACATCATATGACTTTTCTATTCACGGCCTAAATATGTATAGACAAATATAAAGGCATACATGTATGATAGTGTAAGTGTTCCTAGAGGAAACATAGCGCTTTAAATTGAAATAAAATAAAAAAAGACAACGCAGAAAATTGAGTGAAATTAGACATTTGAAGATAATTCATTTGAAACACAATATAAAACTATATCGTTTGGTAGATGACTAAAGAGGATAGAAATATAATAACATTAACATCGTAAAAAAGCACGGAGAACAGTAGTGTTGAATACAACGTTAAATAAACAGAATATTTCAATCATAGAGGGTTAAATCTTCAGAGGGCTTCTACAAGAGGAAGCACGGTACACAATAGTATAGAACGACATTTGAAAATTATCCCGCATGTGTTTCTTTTGAACGAAAAATCGAAATTTATTTTAAGGAGAAACAACGATTATTTCTAACCTTAGAGATGAAGTATGAAAGGATGAATTGTGAAGAGTAATGATAAACGGAAAAATAAAAGTGTCCAGGGATGGGAATACACAATTGTATGCTGTGATAAAGTTCTTTAGGACGAGTTGGACCATCTGAAATGACAATCCTACCCCTGCCAGGACATGTCAACTCTCCGCGATGACAAGCTGCTGCCAGCTGAACGAGGAATCGACAAGCCCATCCATCATAGCTCTGGAAATGTGCAGTTTTGAACTGAACTCCAAATATTATTTCTAGGAAGAATATACCTTGGTAGCATAATATAACTGTCACCTTTTTCAACAATCAATTCCAACAACAACAAAATAGATGCACAATATGAAAAGATGAATTGTGAAAAGTAATAATAAACGAAAAAATAAAAGTGTCCAGGGATGGGAATCGAACCCACAGTGAGACGCTTACCGGGCAGATGCCATGTCCACTAGGCTACCCTGGACATATTTTTCCGTTCGTAAATATTATATAAAGTAATTTATAATACAATATAATGCCGCTAATATTTTTCGTTCAGAAGAAACACATGCGGAATATTTTAAAATGTCGTTCTATAACTGTATATAGATTTCTCTTTTATCTTTTCATATATTATTTATTTTTAAATATTATTTTATAATATCACCATTGACGTGTATGATGTAAATAAAATATTTTTAAATCTCAAATCTCTCTCTCTTTTCTACCAGTAGAGATTCAACATTTTCGAGCCATTTCCTTACGAAAACATCCGTTTTCCAGTCAGACAAAATTGGTATTATCCTGTACTAGATCCTTAACAGAATGGTACCTAACATCAACGCGTTTACTTCTTTTGAAACTGTTCTAAAATAAGTCAATATGTTGGTGATTTTATTTTTTAATTCGACTTAGAGCGTTATTTTCCACTAGGGACACTTTTACTTTAAAGGTAAACTAAACATAGAAAGAAAAGAAAGAAATTATGTATAGAAGAAACATTCGTGCTCTTAAATTTTTAAATTTTATATATATAGATGGCGCGTTATTGCTTTGTGTTAATTTATGCTTAACTGGCCTTGTCTTTATTGTTTGCGGAAGAGCATTGCTCGATGAAAATATTTGAATGTAATTCTACTGTTCTATTAGCTTATCTCCATAGTTTTCTTGAAAACTGTTGAAAATGAATAATAGGCCAAATAGATCAAAGTTCGCACCTCGTAGTGAGGAATACAAATTGATAGGATATTTTTCAGAATCTAAGGCATATAGACTTTGGAAGCCTGGGACGCGTACAATTATAAAAAGCCGAGATGTACGTTTTATTGAACCAGAATTGTCCAAAATTAGGAATGAAGTCGTTGAAATTGATGTTGGTTCAGAAAGGGCTTCTTTCAAGGAAATCCCTCTAGTAAAAGAAAGAGGAAGTACATCAGAAATTGACCCAAAAGCTGAAATTGAAAGCCAATCGGATCTAGAAGTATCTGAAGTGTTAAACGAGCCATCAGAAAGTGGAGTGATAATTTCCAGAAGAGGAAGAGGAAGACCAAGGTATATTAGAACGGGAAAACCTGGCCGACCAAGAAAGGAATATCCTACGGCAAATTTATCCACGCAAGAATTTTCAGAAGTGAAGTACTCCCCAGATCCAAAAGACGCAGAGGAAGCGCTGTCTGGAAAAGATTCTTATTTTTGGAGGAAAGCAATGAAGGAGGAGTTTGATTCATTGATTGAAAACAAAACTTGGGAACTGGTTGATCCCCCTAAGGGCCAAAACGTAATTGGAAGCAAATGGGTATTAAAAAAAAAGTACAGTAGTGATGGTTCTCTTGAGCGCCATAAGGCTCGTCTTGTAGCAAGGGGGTTTTCACAGCAGTACGGAATCGACTACGAAGAAACATTTGCTCCAGTAGTGCGCCAAAGTACAATTAGAGTATTTTTCGCTTTGGCTGTAGAATACAACTTGATAGTCCACCAAATGGATGTTCAATCTGCTTACTTGAACGGAGAAATTAAGGAAGAAGTTTATATGGCACAGCCAGAGAACTTTGTATCAAGAACATATCCAGAGAAGGTATGTCGACTCAAGAAGGCCATTTATGGGTTAAAACAAGCTGGAATAGTTTGGCATGAAAAGCTTGACACTGAATTAAAATATTTGAAACTGAAGCAAATTCAATCTGACAACTGTGTCTACATCAAACATCATGAAGGCATTCTTCTGGTGGCAATCTATGTTGATGATTTGATAATTGCAGCTGAAAGAGAAGACACGTTGATATCCTTTAAAGAAGGTATGAAGAATATATTCAAAATAAAAGATCTTCGAAAGATAAATTATTGTTTGGGTATAAGAATACAAACGGAAAAGGATGGTTCAATATCCATAGATCAAGAGAAATATATTGAAGAACTTCTGGCGAAATATAGGATGAAAGAGGCCAAGCCGATTTCTACACCCATGGACTCGAACTCCAAGTTAACAAAGATTTCATCTATAGAGGGTAAGAATGAGCCAGTAAAAAAGGTAGAATACCAATCACTGATTGGATCATTAATATATCTTTCAGTGTCGACAAGGCCTGATATATCCTATGCGGTTAGTGCTTTGGGACAGTTCAGCAATGATCCTAGGAGACAGCACTGGAATGCGGCCAAGCATGTCCTCCGCTATCTAAAGGGCACTTTAGGTTTGAAAATAACTTACGAGAAAACTAATGAGACCCTTTATGGTTATGTCGACGCTGATTGGGGTGGAAACCTCGCGGATAGAAAATCTCAAACGGGACTTGTTTTCTTCTTAGCAGGAGGTCCAATAGCTTGGGAATCGAAGAAGCAGCAGACTGTCGCTCTTTCGAGCACGGAATCTGAGTACATAGCACTTTGTGAAGCGGGAAAGGAGGCAGTCTATCTTAGAGCGCTGTTGGATGAGATGGGATTTGGTGAATTATTGAATGAACCTACGGTTTTAAAGACTGATAACCAGGGCGCTCAACAGCTGGCGAGAAATCCAGTCCATCATGCCAGAACTAAACACATTGACATCAAATGGCATTACATTAGAAGCATTTGCAGCGATGGTCTTATCGAGGTCGTTCACACACCAACCCAGGAAAATGTTGCCGACATCCTTACTAAAGGTCTGCCAAGAGTCTTGTATGATAAACATGTTGCTGGATTTGGAATGTAGAAATGTGATAAATTGAGAGGAAGTGTTGAAATTGACAATTATCTCGCATTTCTATGAATATAAATAATTATCATCGGACCAGTGACTTGCTACTCTGTGCTGTTGATCTAGATATATACAGCTGTTGGTTAGATAGAGAACGACGCATTTCTTCCAGTTGTTATTGTGTTGTTTGCCTGTATTAGTGACTTTAAGTTTAAGTCCAATAAATATCCTTCAGATATAGCCTATCGTCCTCTTCATTTTATCAAAAACCATTTCTGAGATTCCACCCTTCAGTACTGTGTATATAAGCAGAATCGTCCAATACAGTATTAGAGCTCTGAGAAGCGGTCTGGTGGATTAAATTGGCGAAACCGCTGGGCGGGTTTACCACTGATGAGCCAAGCCCTTCCAATATATTTTTTCATCGCAGTAAGGGCAGTAGAATTTTGTATTATGTATAAAAGAAACGTTCATGCTTTTAAATCCTTTCATTTTATATATATAGATGACGCGGTGTTGCTTTGTGTTAATAGTTAAATGAAATCAATTTTAGTTTATTCGAGGAAAAAACAATTTACAGATTAAAGAAATTTTTAAGGAATATTTGATGATAATTCGTACATTTCATATTTGGCCTTACATTTCTCTTTCTTCCATGAAATAAATCTTTATATCAATATTAAGGTTGAATTATCAAGTTTCCAGGAAAAAAGTTTATTTTTAAAATTTCTCATTTGACAAATCTCTTTCGGGCTTTCATTACTTTTACAACAGTTTTACATTCAGATGAAGAAAGGTTTTCCGAAGAATTCTGATTTTAACAAAGAAAGGTTTTCTGTAAAATTAATCTCCTTAGTTTTAGGGGTCGGTGGAAGGATGGTCTAAACCATTGTTTTTTTCCGCTACGACCCGGGTTCGATTACTGCATTGGCCATTTTTTATGATTTAATAAAAAAAAATGCTCCAATGGCCCCCGATTCTTGCAAAAGTCCAACCCCACCAGTGAGTGCATGTAACCAAAACGGGGCTTTGGCATACTTGTAAGTGCAAAGTCGATCTGCTTTTCACATGTGTAGACATGTGGTGCACTTACAGTAAAAGCAGTCGCCTACCTCTACCCATCATGATTATCATGGCCTGTACCACGTGTACTAGGGATTAGCAAAAAAAAAGTTTTAAAAACAAGTTCACAAATACGCATCAATATTAGTAATCGGTTTTTATTACTAAAGAAAATAGTTATTTAGAATTTCTAACATGCCATGAACAGATCTGAATGAGAACATAGGTATAGCGAACAAAGAGTTAGCTAAGAAGGTCAGCCAGGGGAATCTGAACAAAGCAAAAAAGTAAAGTTTGTCCCTCGTTAGAGATATTTCAGCTCGGGGCAATCCATGTAATTATGCCAGAAATGTGGTGGCACTTGGCAATGTCCTAAATTACCGTATTTGCATCCATGGGACGACCTTGCTTCTCTCTACACTCATTATGGTCGAAATCAAATACTTGATGCAATTATCTATCTTCGAAATGATTTTGATTGTTTTTTAGATCTTTTTCCAACTGAAACTATAAGTTACTGGGATGTTTCTAATTCGGCATATTTTTTGATAATGCACAATTTGGATTATTGACTATTTCTACAATAAAATAAGACCTATTTTATTTTATTTTCTGATGATGTGATAACGCTGTTGCCGAAAGGACATATAATATTAATTTATTTGGATTATGGCATATTTTTATATAAGGTATGACCCTATTTTTCAACGATTAAAGGTATTTCTATGAAAAATAGACACTTCGGCCAGTTAGAGTTTATTTTTTATTTTTCTCAACGTTTCGACAAAAATATTTTGTCTTCGTCAGGAGAATTGAATAAATAAATAAATAAAAAACTCTAACTGGCCGAAGTGTCCATTTTTCATAGAAATATGAATGCCGGAAACCTCTATCTTTAGGATTAAAGGTATTATTCACAAAATTCTATGAAGTTTCATTTTTTCTAACCAAGATTTGTAGCAGCTAAACCCGACTCTATGCATTCATCATTACCGAACAATTGTACCTGCTTCCTTTCAGATATAGAGATTTCAAGAAATATTGAAAGTCACAAGGCAGTTGCTACGGCATTTGAATATCTGAATTCACAAATTCTAAAAAAAGTATATCGATTTCTGCATTAGGCTGTGGGTGAAAGAATATGTCACGCTTCTGTTATAACATATTTTTATATAAGGTATGACCCTATTTTTCAACGATTGGAAATATTCTTCCCCAAATTCTATGCAATTTCATTCTTTCTAACC